AGTGAGTGAGTGAGTGAGTGAGTGAGTGAGTGAGTGAGTGAGTGCGTAAGTGAGTCGGGGATTTTGTCATTCGCATAATACGAGATATTGATCATGTGATCTGTCAACCCGCGACACACCTTCTGACTAAATAAAGCTTTAAAATATTATATTTTGACACACGGTAAACTTCAATGTATCTGCATACATGAGTCACACGAGCGAGGCCAGCGGTTCAATGGAATTCGAACGTGAGCCATTATGTTATACCGCTGACTCGAATCTTCCCTAGTTTTCTCATTCCACAGGAAACCCAAAAGTTATTTTCAACAAAACTCACCCTCCTTAAGGACCGATGTGTGTTATTTCCAAATTTTGATAAATATTCTGCTTCACTTGGGAGTTCAGGGGGGAGCCTGACCGTTGGGAATTTCGACGGCACAAGTTCCTGCAATTGGTAAGAATCCCATTGCGCAACCATGACGTAAATTGGTGTACTTAAATATTTGACAACTGAAATAAATGATCGGCAGAAAGAAAAGTGAGTATGACAAAACAATAGTACACCGCGTGAGAATAAATATATGTATTGCGCATGCGCCCTCAAACAAGGGACGCTCTCCTTTTCTTCTGTAACGTCATTGCACACAACGTTTCTGGAGGTTTCGTCTGATCATGAAAACTATTCCACATGGCAAGGTCATACATGTACACGGTACGGTCGTAGTCACGAACTGATTTTTCATTGCAAACTGAGCAGAGTAGCCAACCCCTGACAATGTACAAATACCGCACTAGACTTATTCTTCTGGTTTGCGAATTACGTATTCGCGGTCTCTCGATTGAACGTTGGTGCCATCTTTAAAAAATCACTAGCATCAATTGTTAACGGCACCAATATGGCCGCCGCGTCTTTGTCTTTTGACTCTCTTGGAATGACTGCATCAATACTACCGCCAATTCTTTTTTAGAGCGAATCGATATTTTTTTGAAGCGCGGCGAACGAGCAACATAGTCGCAAACGGTGTCTGTCGGCTTTAGCAGAGATATATAGTGGCGGCGGATCGACTTCGGTGAGTCTAATACGGCACTGTGATGGCAATTGCGTTGCGCTTTTTTTCCAAAATCACATGTACTGATGAAAAACACTGTTTAGTATAGATTTGGTCCCACAGTTAATATGGTCACTACTTTTACTTCACGCAGTAACTATATGGGCATATCCAGGTTTTTCCACTTGAAGAAAGGGTGTGGGCACTCACTACTAATATAACGTGGACGAATAATCCCTCCCTCCGCTAATCCCCCTACCCCCACCCCCCAACACATGCACCCCTCAAAACACTTGCACCTTAGAAATAAACTGCTATGCATCCCAGTATGCTATATACGTCCACGAAAAATACGGCTAATGTTTATTTACAATATACTTAGAGTAAGCAACAGTGAACATACCTAGTTCTCCATACAAACAGGCAGCAGGCTTTGGCATCTCGCTTCTACAGGATTCATCCACATATCCATCCCATAAGCGATTAAACATCTACAAGAGAATGAATGAAGGACAATCATTTACATTCGATTTCCATACAAATATTTCAAAAAAAGTTAGAGCTACAGGAGATGGAAAAAATGACCGATCGGCTATTGCTTAAACGTTATATATTATCATGAGAGAGGAGGGGGTTGGGGGCAGGTGTTAACCACCACTGTGACCCGTTTGGCTCAGTTTGGTGGACCACGACAAATGTCTCAGTAGAAAAAGCTGCATTTGCTTCCTTATCTTAATAATTATGGTTCATTTTATCACATATACATCATTTTCCCTCTCTTTGCTCCTCCCCAAAACACGCGCGGAGTAAGAACTCTGGGCAATTAAATCGTACGTCACGCGTTTTTTGATTGGCCAAAAAACACTAAACAACAAAACAACAAGACTCCAAAAACGAGAGAGAATAAAGAAATGTCGATTGTGCTACAAACGAAGTTAACGTATTTCGAGAGCGCGAAAATCGACTCCATTCTAGTTTTTTAAAAATTTATTGGTCTGATTTTACCAAAGGATTATCCTTTGCAGACTCGGTGAATTTATTCGATTATTCCACGCCAGTTTGTCTGGGTAAATATCTAAAATATTCACTTGGCCTCGGGCGAGTAATTGCTGAATCTACCGCACGCGTGGATGTTTTGTGACGAAATTACAAGATACTTATGATAATGATGATCTGAAATTACTTATTGATGAATAATGAAGTATCAGTCTTTCAGTATAAAGTGATAATGGCGTGATAACAGTGCAAATGGAATGCTTTGCGTGTAATGTAGTCGCTATAAAAATAAATTAGATACTTAGATGACATAAACGCTTGATCAATCGATACGTACATAGATAAGATACTTGACCCTAGTTCACGTTTTGTTGTTCAACATTACGTTCAATTTCCTACGAGCTCGATCATCTATTTATCCTTATTTACAACCCTATTTTGTTTCATATGATAAATGCTGATTTTATTCAATAACTCTGTCATTTATTTATTTATTATAACCCCCCCCCCCCCCCTATATTTTCTAATTACTTTGCATTCTTTTTTTGTTCGATTTTTCTTTCTTGTTTTCTTTCCCTTTGTCTTTTTAAGGTCTCACATATCATAAGCAAAAAGTCGGAATCGATTTCGCTATACGTTTCCTCTGAAGCTCTTTCAAAAAAAATATTGTTTGATTTTGTTTCCGTAAAATTCTTTGAAAATTTCACCAACAAAAAGTCGTAATTGTACAGTACTTACCACTTCGAGAGTAGAAAAAAAGTATGGAGTACCTTGGGCCAGCTCTTCTCCAAAATTCGGAAACAGCGTGAACCAGCCGCCATCATTGAACCCGCGGACCTAAAGAAAATCGCAAAAAGAAGAGGTCACACGTTATTGACGCCACTGATACACATTACAGATCGTGTGTTTTGAGCGGGAAAGGTCATCAAGCGCTATACGAGGTATAAATAGACTTAAGAGGCTTTACCTGAGCCGATAGGGATTTCCATGTCAGCCTGAAACATGGTGTATTTTTGAAGATGTGAGCTAAAGGATCGAGGCTGAGCCGCCCTAAGGGGAGAGGGGCAAGGGGGACCAGTACATTTTCTTGCCATAGGACATGCCCAAAATTGCTATCAATTCTGCTTGGGTCGGGCTGATCACGAGAGGTAGTCAATAAATAACCTAGGACTTTAAAATTTGCAAGCAAAATTATTATTTTTTAACTGGAACAGATTTTTCATGACTGTGAAACGGCACGGAACACGAAACACACCACAAGATGGCGTCCTAACAGAAGTCAGGTGATTTATGACATGACGTGCAAAAAAGTCTGTTGACGACATCTTTTCTACCAAAAGAGGAAGGCTTTACTCGGTACGTTCACCCTTATTCATAAGTAACGGCGTAAGAAAAGGACTAGACTAGGTTTAAGATAATTTCAAATGGCTTACCTTTGCTGGTGACAGCATGTTTTGTACATAATCTAAATTAGCAAGCATTCCCAGTCCCCCCGCTGAAGCACCACCAAAAAGAATCTGGAATAAAAAAGATCGGGAAATAAATAAGAATTTGCAAAGAAGAAACCTTGATTCCGATAACGAGAGATATCTTCACTTACATTTACTTAATTCATAATTCTTTATGTAACTTTTTTCTTTAATTATCGAGTCAATTACAGTATTTTTCCAGCCATGATTTTATTTTGATCGTTTGCGAACAAACTAAACGTTTGCCGTAAAACTACGGTGTTACGCACGTGATCCACCGACATTTCGCGCCTTTTTCGATCACGTGATCATTGAGTATAGACGCGAAGATATCCCTTTTGGGACGAACTCGAAGTTACATTTATGTACTTTGTAAAAAAGTAAAAGAGTAACTTAATCTAGTTGGAGACAGAGGGCTAGGTAAATTATTACTTGAGCTATCGGCTGCGTCAGTATTGCTATAAAATATCGTAAAATGAAAACGCTTTGTATCTATAAAAGTTTGAACTTATTTCGTGCAAGTACTTGAGATAATTGATTGGATTCTTTTAGTTTCAGCACTTAAGAAAATACAAGTTTGGACTCACGTTAAAAAAATAAAAAACAGTTCAAGGCGAGTACATGGTTTACATACTGTATTTTCCGTAGAATTGATATGATGATCAGCCATTAGTTGTTCCATCACTGCTTTAATGATGTAATGGCCCAACATCTGTAACCCATAGGGATGAGTAGATTTGGGTCTGCGGCCCACAAATACATCACCACTGAAATCATAATAGCAGAATTATTACATAAGACTAACGACTTTTGTCGCCGGAATAATTTGGGAGAATAAGAAAATTTGGGGATTTGAATATCATTGGTATTCACTTTAAAATGGAGGTCCAGAACTTTTTGGGTGAAAGAGCCTTGGAGTTTTTGGAGTGAATGGTTTTCCAAAATTAGGGGTTGGATTATTCAGTTTTGCAGCTAGGGGGGGNTGGTGGGGTTGGGGGTGGGGATGGGGATGGGAGCAGGGACAGGGGGGTGTTGAATAGAAGTTTAGTTAAGTTTTTCTTCCATTATCCCCTAGTCTCCTCAGCAGCCATTCTTGGTGTCATTCTAAAACAAGTGTTTGAACTGACAATCACAATGACTGCAAAGGAGACTGCCATCCCCCTGGCTCTTTAACAATTAATGAGCAATTACTTTATGGGAATTAGACAGTGAAGGCTTTGTCATAGCTGCTGCTGCAACATGGGTCCACACAGGACATGGGTAACAAAACTCTATTACTTTTCGTGGTTGTTCTTATGACATTTCTAAAAAAAAACTTCAAATTTTATTGATACMACCTCTGAGCTGATCAAAGCCTGGGCATTTCCAATTCATAGATTAAAATGGAATTTAATGGTTTCATTCAGCTCCATGACCTTAATTTAGATCTACAGCAACAATAACAGTGTTCTATTTTTATCACCATCTATAAATAAGTTCTAAATTCTAAAATTTCATGGATTTTCAATTGACCTAGACAATTTTTCCTTGAAACTTCATGAATGGAGTAAAGATTTCATATCCCAGACCTATTCCAGGGCCTTGTGAACCCTGTGTTAAAACATATTTTCGAATTAACAAAAATAAGAAAAATGTCAAGATTAAGTGTCCACATTGTAAGTTGTAACACAAAGTTGCTGCATAAGCCAATTATGGCAAGGAAAATGTTCATCAAATGCAAGATACAAAAAGTGCTCAACTGAATTCATATAAAATCGTTTTGAAATAAATCAAAAACAGATTATAAATTGAAATGAATAAGAAAAGGATTGAAAAAATGAATGATCAAATGAAAGATTTTTTATCATAATATGCAAGAATATTATTATCTATCCATCCACTAACCTGCAATAAGGAACATAAACTTTATTCCAAGAAGCAAAAGTAGGATTTTCATTAGGATCGTCTGACGATAAAAAAGTCCCTGTCATATACAAGTCATAGTCTTTGGATGACCCATAACGACCTTTAGCTCTCTCTCGACAGGCTTCAACACTGCCACAGGAGCCTCCTGCTTGAAGCTGAATTATCCAGTTTTTTGATAAGGGATTGTGACTTAAATAAAACACTGCTACAGAACCATCTGGGGAAAAAAATTATAGTAATTTATTACTAAAATGGCCTTAGAATGTAATCTTATGTCACTCCCAACCCTCACCCCCAGTGGCATGGGAACATTTGTGGGGGGAGGGGAGAGGATAAAGAGCACATTAAATTTATTTTGAAATAATTAGAGTCAGAAAGTAGAATGTTTATCTAATGGGATATAAATGGTTGATACTCATAACACCAGAGACAATATTGAACACATAATCTGATTTGATTTGAACTAAGTACTGAAATATAAATAAAAGACTGGTATTAAAGCTTTTACATTTATATTATTATTAAAAATGCTAGTCTTTAAAGCACAAAAATGAAATAAATTAAAACAAAAATAGTTAACAATCATGGGGACATAAAATAGAATATCATATGATTGACTAAGATAAATTATAGATTTGAGAGTCACACAAAAAATTGATGAGTATCGTACAAAAAGTACAGAATCGTACAGAAATTAAATACGCAGGATCCATGTTTCCTAGCTCCCCCTTGTTGCACTGGCCAAAAGAAAAATATATGAAAATGAAACCACATTTTTTTCAATCCAAAAATCAAAATTTACTGAAAAGCCATGTTTATAATCTAGAAACATGTAACATGTGAAAAGACCCCCAACCACCCCTCCCCCAATGCTTTTAACACTGGCCAAGCAAGAGGAATAAGAATAAGAAAAAAATGTGCAAACAAAATGTTTTTAATTTTTGTTGCACTGGCCAAAAGAAAAATATGTGCATATGAAACCACAGGTAGCCCAAGCTTGGTTTCTGTGGTGTCCTGTTATAAGGAAATGTATGGAGATTCATCAAAAATTTCAATAAAATCATTGAAACGTGAAATGAAGCCTCAAAATTTTACCCAATCATTGAGAAATAGCACTTCTTTTGAACTGCGTGGTTATTTTTTGAATTTAGCCCGTTTTAAGATTTTTTCCCCCACCAGTAAGAAATAAGAGAAGGAAACCACATATTTTTTCAATCCAAAAATCAAAATTTACWGAAAAGCCATGTTTATAATCTAGAAACCTGTGAAAAGGCCCCCACCCACCCCTCCCCCAATGTTTTTAGCACTGGCCAAGCAAGAGGAATAAGAATAAGTAAAAGAATGTACAAAAGTTGTTTTTAATCCAAAAAACCAATTGAAATTGTACAAAAGAAGAAAAAAAACATATTTGTCTCGATTCTAGTGTCTCTAGTCAACCACCCCTTTCCCTTCCTCAGCACAGAAAATTGTGCAAACAAAACCACTTTTTTCATTTCAATCCACAAATCAATCCATACAATCCTTTAAGAGGTCAAGAAGTTAGTCAATAGTCTGATCATAGATAACCCTATCAAACGATTCATGAAAGTAGGATCACAGACTTAAACACATCTTATCCATTGATTAATAATTCTCATACTTCTCTTAATTGTTTTTGAAAGATAATAAAAACCATCGTCTTTCCTTAATTTGCTAAACATATTGCTTAAAGAAAAACCAAGAAAAAACCTTTGTCGAATTTTTTCAGGGAAAATGCCCTTGTAGTTTACTGGTTATCAAATATTTTTTTCGTTAATAAAATAAAGGATCACTCCAATTGAACCGATAAAAGAGGAAATAAAATAAATGAGGAAGCAAGATATAGAATTAGCTAGGAAAGAATTTCAAGAGACATATAATAATAATGAATTCATCTCACTGCAAAAGGAAAGCGATTTTGGCCAACAAATCACTTGAATCAATCAATGCGTTCACCGCTCACGCAACGCTCTTTTCTTTTTTTTCATTAGCTTTTCCAATCAACCTTCTTTATTTATTAATTTTACTGAGTAAATATCACTGAACAGTTGTATTAAATGAAAATACTAGGCTGTCAAGTTGTCTTGGAAGCTTTATACAGAGTCTTTTTTGTTGGAGTAGAATAAACTACCCCCGCTATTCCAGTTTGAAGTCAATAAGTTGAAAAATAAAAGGTAATTTCATTAATTCATTGTAGCGATAACAAGGTCTTTCGGCAAGGAGGCCGCAAATTGGAAACACGCGGAAAGCGAATTTTGGGAACAAAAACAAACAACGTGATGTTTGAAAAGCGTCGGAAATCCTATAAATCTCTGGGCTCTGAATAAAATTAAAGGCTTCCGAAAGAAAAGTGTTTTCATATGTAAATAAAGAGTTTTGTGGTGATTCACCTAACTATTTTGATTCTTCAAAGCCGTGGAAAAATTTATCTCCTGGTTCTTCGGAAAGTTTCGCGGTTAATTTCGGTAGATTCAAAGATTACTTTGATGTGGACCGGTTCACCATGAATCATTAACCGGAAAAGCTATTTTCAAAGGCGTACAGAAGAGACAAAAAAACTGGATTTTAAACTAGCTAGTCGATTCCAAATGTGTGAGAGAGCGCAAGTGGGTATTAAAATGAGCGCTCGCCTCTCACCAATGCAACCCGGGTTCAATTCGATCCCGGACACGATATCATATAGTCTCCCCCACAGCCGCTTTCAGTGTCGTCACGCAACGCTTTCTCCCCTGAGTAGCTACTCAGGGGAGAAAACGTTGCGTGACGACACTGAAAGCGGCTGTGGGGGAGACTAGATATCATATAGCCGGTGAGTAGTTTCTAGTTGGTTCTCCCCTGTGCTTCGAGGGTTTTTCTCCGAGTTCTCCGGTATTTCTCCCTTCACAACAATCAACTTCTAAATTTACTTTTTGTGATTTATGAATAAGAGCTGTCAGAAATGTTGACAATCTTTTGACTTGCACCGTTGCAATAAAATTAACCGTGCTTAAAATAAAGTACACTTTACTGATTTGTAATATATATCCTAGCATTGGTTTGTAAATTATATCTGAATATTGGATTTCCGACCCCTGAGGCAAGGAAAGAAATATATTTGTGGAATACTGTCGAAAATACTCTGGTATTGTCCCAAGATAAAGGCTGTAAAGCTTCGAGTTAAGCACGTTCCAATCTTGAACGGTAATCGCGTTATGGAATTAATTGTCAAGGAAATAGATATACGAGTCGTCTGAGGAGGGAGAAAATATTCCTCGCAGGGCCAAACACGTTCAGGGTTTTATTTAGTGCGGTAAAATAAAGAGTGCTGAATATCACGGAAATCTAGCATTGAATAGTCTAGTGACATAACGAGAGGTAGTAAAGCTGTAAGTTCGCTCAGAGTGGTGGATTTAATATTACTTTTATTTGCATTGTTTGATAACATGCCAAAGCCTTCAATAAAAACAACAACAAAGATTTACTTACCGAGGCAGAGCGCTTGACGTTTCTCAGCATTAGGAATTGTTACTTTTCGCAAGTTGTAACTGGATTTTTTTCGCTTGCGTACGCTCCGCTGTGACCTACTAGACACATGTGGGGAATTGTCCTTCAAGTTGTCGAAAGTCGAGAGTCTCTTGGAAGTCTGTAGGTTAGTCTTGGACTTGGACACATCAAAAAATCCTTCAGAACTGTAAACAAAAACGGACAAGAGACAAAGAACCACTCGTTCCAGATGCATCACTCCTCGCGAAATCGATCAATCCGCTCTTAAAGAGCGTCAACACGATAGCTGTCGCTATTTCACGAGAATGGCAGGCTGTAATTCCACTCCAACCTTGGCAAGTCGTCGTCTTCTTTAGACGATCTGTGGTTGTAAACGTATTACATAGGTTAAGGAGTACTGAGCAAAGATTACAAAATGACCCGAAGTGGTGCGCTCGCTAAAGATCTTCGTTCGAAAGCCACACGTGTAGTCATTTCGAACGGTTGTTTGGTCGCTTTAGAAAGCTTCACAATAGACCCATGCAATTTTAGGTTAGCTTGATACCCCAACTGATATCGTCTTCGTGAAATTCAAACCGTCGAAGGCTAATAGCCGAATACATGTGTGATCAAGCCGGTAAACGAAACTTATCTCGCTGGAATTAATCTGGATGTGACGTCACTTGCCATGCAAAGAGTTGGTCGTGAAAAGTTAATAATTACTTACATTTAGCCTTTATATAACATGTTTTATCTGAGAACCTCATTTACTCGAATACTAATATCACTCTAAAATCAACATATTATCGCATTTGTAAACCTTTCTTAGGAAATGATTAAAAAACCTTGTCACGCTACTACTGTCACGCGGTTATGCCACGGAATTACTTCCTGAGAAATTAGGAAGTCGCCGAGTTTTTTTCCATTTTCGCGGCACAGACAGAAAATATTTTGCAAAAAAAAAATCGAATTTCCGTTGAAAATTCAATAAGCGTTGTCTTTAATTGAATTCTTGAATTCTTTATGGATTCCTTTTTACTTTGGGTATGATATCTATCCTATAGCAACATGATTATATGCCTAAAAAGAAACCGTAAGAAAACATTGACAAATTGACTAACTGGAAAGTGTATAGAGACGAAACAAGGGTAGGATTTTTATTAATCCCGCAGTACGCGACAGTAATTGCTCGCGTTTTACTCTACCACTTATCGGTAACATTTATCACAACAGCAGCGGTGGCAAATGGGTCTGGCAAAATTCATGGAATCCTTATATTCTCTCTAAGAAACAAATTTCTAATTCTTATTGACTACATGGATATTTTTCTTAGGCAGCAGCGGGCCTGTGGTTGGAGTGCTTAAGATTACTTCAATAAAAGTAAGCTAGTCCAGACAATGGACTTGGAAAACCGCTAAGGAGTCATCATCATAGTTATCATGGTTATCATCCATCTCTTCTAGTTATCATCATAGGTAACTTAGCCCTCACGATGCAATTCACCAATGGTTATCTGTTCTATGGCTCCAAGGAATACTTACATTAAGTGCCAGTAGACAGCAACTAGATCTAGAGCTCTCTCTTGGAAAAGCTGACCTGATATTGGTCGAAGCAGTGAGGGCGGATCATGATAAACTATCCTAACGAGAATCAACCCCGAAGCCGGTTTGCCCAGCGCTAAGCGTTTAGGCCGCTCACTAATGACTCTCTTATGGCACCGCAAAAGTTATTCCCAATTCAAACACTAAAATAACCATAATAATCGGTGTACGTCAGCTATAGAAGACTCTTGCTTTTGGAATATAAATATACAAAAACATCGGAACCAAAGCGGCATAGCGACCAAAGTTTATGAACAATAAACTGGGAGGAAATTACAAACTTCTTCCAACAAATTAACGAGAAAATGAAAGAAAAAAAGACAAAGGAAACAAGGAAGAGAGCAAGACTGGATCCCCGGTTCTGGCTAGCGCGTTCATGATTTATTACAGCGTTTGTTTTATTGACGTTTTTTGGTCATCTTGTCGGTAATGGCTGTATTATCTGGTCTTGGTTAGTTTTGCAACTTTAAGTTTGCAGTGTTGCCTGAAGGCTGATCAGATCGCGAACCACTAGACCCCCGCGTTGACCCCCCATGGGTTCACTTTTGTTTCCATTTTCAATTTTGTGATCACAGTGTGTTTTGTTTCGCCACTAATCGTCAAATGAATCAAATCAATCAAAAAGCGCACCAGATTCGATTAGAATAAAACTCCAAGAAACCTTAAAGATATTTCTTTCTGGACAAATTTTGATTTTGTTGTGGCTCACTTCACTCAGATAGACATGTGAGCTGTCCAAAATCTTCGTTGACTTTTCATAAACCCTTATTTTATCAGTATCATGCGTATTTCTTATCCAAATTTATGTTTTGACTGTTCAAATGTATTGATGGCGTACCGGCAACCCTTTCAGGAAAGCCGCAAATATGGAGTTCATGGGTCGGTGTGCTTCGCACAGGAGGGCTAAGCAGAAAACCTCTTTGACTAAAACTACTTTAGGACGACTAGTCAATGTAAAGAGACGCTGGAGATCTATGCCTTTGACTGTAAAGATCATTCTCTATAGATATACAGCACTTTACAGAAAACGTGGGTTATCAGCCGCAGTTTAGCTAAGGTTTGTTTTGACTAACTCAAAATATCTCTCACAATTTATTTCAACGGTGTTTTCTAATCTCTACACGAAAACGTGGTCGAACCAAAAGAGGTGTTGGACGAGGTCACCATCACAATGAGAAGCTTTTAGTGTTAAAAGAAAAGCAAAAAAGGTGAAAACAGAGCTGGCTTGTAACTTGATTTCTGACGGTTTTTACGCCACTTAGAGTTATCAGCAGAAAGAACCGGTTTTGCTTGAGCCATTGTTCACAGCATGGAGTTGATTTATTTCTGCCGCCCGCTGAAAAAAAGCTTTTTAAATATCAAAACATTTGAGGTTATTGTCATTTTTTTTGAAGACAGGTGTGGTCGCCCTTATTCTAGATGAGAATATTTCTTCTTTCTGTATGTAATATTGAATCGTCGATGAAAAGTTCAACCTAAGCTGTTTCACGATTCAACATTGAAACGGAGAAAAGTTTGCAAAGCACACTGAACGAACTAACCACAGTTATTTTACTATGATTTCACAATCGCTCGAAGCATTGCGTTAAAAAAAAGTAAGTTTTTATGTATGATGTCGCAGACGGTGCCGCAAGGGATGGGTAAAATAATAGCAATGAAAACATGAAACAAGAAACTTTGATAATACATAATGAAAATTATATGAGGAAGTGAGTGATTTGGGATGAATCAGAAATGGGGGGAAAGACAAAATGAAGAAGTTGGAGATTTCGTATTGAAAAAAAAAAAAAA